TAGCAATAGCAGCTCCCTGATTCATCAACTTCCTGCAATGCTGTTATCAGTATTTTTTTTTTCAACAGAAGCAAAGCTATTTTCAGTGCAAGGATATTCATTAGAGAATCTGAGAATAGAGCCTCTTCTTTTAACCCTTCTCACAATTATTATTTAATACAACATTTACTGTTTTAAATCATTTTTTTGCTAGAGTGGATTCTATTTTCTGCTAATTGAACGTTAATAGATACACCATCTGCATTACAAAATTCTCTTTTTAATTCTTATTAGTTCTCTTAGTTTTGTCTTTAGAGTCTCTTGGATTGTTCTTGGGAAATTAACATATTAGCACCAAATATATATCATTTACTTATTTTCTAGTGTTCATACAGTGGTTTCATTTTTGCATTCTTTAAAAAAGCAACCACTCACAACAATAATTCAAAATGCTGGCCGGACACAGTGGCTCATGCCTGTAATCTCAGCACTTTGGGAGGCTGAGGCTGGTGGATCACCTGAGGTCAGGAATTGAAGACCAGCCTGGCCAACATGGTGAAACCCCGTCTCTACTAAAAATACAAAAATTAGCTGAGTGTGGTGGTGTGCGCCTATAGCTCCAGCTACTTGGGAGTCTGAGGAGTCTGAGGCAGGATAATCACTTGAACTGGGGAGATGGAGGTTGCAGTGAGCTGAGATCACACCATCGCACTCCAGCCTGGGCGACTGGGTGAGACTCCATCTCAAAAAAAAAAAAAAAAAAAAAAAAAAAAAAAAAAAAAAAAAAAAAAAAAAAGCATATGATATGGTTTGGATCTGTGTCCCTACCGAAATCTCATGTTCAACTGTAATTCCCAATGTTGGAGGTGGGGCCTAGTGGGAGGTAATTGGATCCTGGGGGCAGTTTCTCATGGTTTAACACCACCCCCTTTGGAGCTGTCATTGCTACGTTGTTGAAAAATGTGTGGCACCTCCCTGCTCCCTCTCTTCTACTGCTCCTTCCGTGTGAGACACCTGCTCCCACGTTGCCTTCTGCCATGATTGTAAGTTTCCCGGGGTCTTCCCAGAAGCCAAATAGATGGGAAACCTCATGCTTCCTGTATACCCTGCAGAACAGTGAGCCAATTAACCTCTTTTTAAAAATATAAATTACCCAGGCACAGGTATTTCTTTATAGCATTGCAAGAATGGACTAATATGGCATATAGATAAGAATTAAGTACCTTAGAAGAGGTGCCTGTGCAGAGAGGAATAGGAGTAGAATATGAGGATAAAAGGAAACCAATGAAGAATAAAGCTTTTAAATGAACAATGATAATGAGGTGCTATGAACTAAGATATTTTAACTCGACCTTCTGTACAAGAGTTAAAATTAAATCCATCCATCAATACGTACCATACAAGCAAATGTGGCACCAGACATATTAAACAGGCAAAGAAGACTTTATTCAAGACTATTGCAATAGCAGAGAGAGATTAAACTCAACTCCTCTGAAACCAAAGGCAGGGGAGTTTTTCAACACTGGGGTAATCATTTAGAAAAGTACTGGATGACATTAGCAGAGAGCTGGTCATTGGAATGTGTCCACCACATTAAGTTATTCCTGTGTTTGCTACATTTTTCTCTGTGATTAGGACATCTGTGTTTACGAATTGGCATCTAAGTTAGGCTCCTATCCTCCCACAGAGACTGGGAGATAGAGATGCTTTCTCCTTCAGTGTTTGCATTTCAAAGAGATGGTTCCCAGGTCCTTAAGAAAGATTATTCCCTGGGTTGTAAAACTGGCAAGAGGATTGGAGAATATTTACATACAGTTCAAAGAGGCAGAGAAAGAATTTGCAATTTCAAGTTTTCTAAAGTAAATGCTCTAAGAAAAGGGTGGCTAAGGCTTATATTCAGGAAGAAACTTGTCTAAAGTTTAGTCAAACTGAGGTGAATGTTGAGGCTGTCTTGGTCACTACATCCACACATATAAGGAAATTTCTAAGATAATGAGGTCAAAAATTTGCTTCTGGCTGAACGTCAAGGAATGCAAGACATCAACTCAGCTGCCTCCTGGGCTTGCAGGCTCAGTTGCCCACCCACTGGGTATTACCATCTAGCTGCTTTTCTGAATGGCTGGATTTTAGAAGTCTTTATTTGCATGACATTCTTGGGGTAATATTTAGAATGATAAGAGAAAGTAGTGGAAAAAAAAAAAAAAAAGACCAACAGTGGAATCATGTTTGAAATAGTCTAAGTGCTCAAATATGTTGTCAAGAATCAGAACTTCTCAAAATTATATTTCTCTTGTTTTTGGATTCAGCACAAGATTAGAACAAGCTAGAAAAGGGTTTTGAGCTCTTTACCTGGAGGCTCCTGGCACATGAACTAATATATTTCTTTTTTCTTTCTTTCTTTTTTTTTTTTTAACAAGAGAAAAACAAGTAATTTCATTAATATATGCAGTGTACATCACACAGGAGAAAACTCAATGAAAAGGTAAACACAAGTAGTGGCTTACAACTCTGGATTATATTATATAGCATCTTCCACAAAGAATACATTTCAGAGAAGTGTGACAAGACAAAGGAAAGCAGTTTTAGGCTTCCAGAGGCAGAAACCGTGGGAAGGTAAACATATGGCAAGAAACTAACAGTAAGCTTTGTTTGTAGATTTCTCTGGTACTGTCTCAGTTGATTAGAGTCTCTTCTCATCTTGGTATCAGGAAAGCATCTTTCTCAAAGAAGTCTGTATGGCTTGCTACAGGTAGGAAAGGACAGTTAAGATAGCCATTTCTGCAACTACTGTTTCTCAAGTACCTTTAGCTTGAAATAATCAGTATGCCAAATTGGTGTATTTGGGGGTGGCATGTTCAAATTTCCTTCAGATCAAAAGAATAGAAAGGTCAGAATCTGGCCCTTATATAGTAACTGCATGACAGATGTTGCACTTGAAACATTGATACTAGGAGGAAGAGCTATAAATGTGCAAAAATAATTAAAAACAAGATTCCAAAATCATGCCATAAACGAAAACAAATTTCAGTTGGACTAAGCATCTAAATGTTAAAAACAAAAATTTCGTAACTTTTGGAAGGCTGAGTAAGACTATTTTTATGACATTTCCTATACAAAAACCAGAAAAAGCAAATCATTATGAAAGATTGGTAAGATTACATTAAAATTTAAAAATTCAAGATTTCATAACCAAAATATGAAGACAAACCAGACTAAACAAGATAACTGAAACATACATAACAGATTATTAGTATTCAAAATATGTGATATCTAACAACTGACAAGTAAAAAAACAAAATGGAAAAATGAGCAAAAATGCCTGTAATCCCAGTGCTTTAGGAGGCGAGATGGGAGGATCCTCTGAGTCCAGGTTTAAGGTTACAGTGAGCTGTGATCCTGCCACCACACTTCAGCCTGAGCAATAGAATGAGATCTTGTCTCTTAAAAAAAAAAAAAAAGGAGTAAAAACTATGGCCTCAGAAATCACACACTGCACTTGCTCAATATCCTGGTAGTTACAAAAGTCAGCACTGTAAAATGCAGGAGAAGGCTATACGGGGGGAATGAACACCAGGAGGCCAGGGATCACTGGTGACCATCTGGAGGCTGGCTACCACATACATAAAACAATATTTTATAGCGTTTTAAAAAATGTATTTATATTAAAATATAAAAACACACGCTAGAATATATGCCACCTCTAGTGGTTACCTCTGGGGACTCTGGGGAGGGAGGAAAGGGACAGGAACAAAGAGGTAACAAAACGAACTTCAAATGTATCTAATATTTGCAATTACATATATATGTGTGTCTGAAGAAAATATAGCCAAATCCTAACATTTATTACATCTGCATGGTAGAAATACATGAATTTTCTTGAACTCATTTACCTCTCCCGTATCTTTGAAATATGTCAGTAAAAAGTTTTAAGGTAATGAATCCAAAGAAATGGAAATAAAATGTGCTTTTAATAAGAATTTAGTTTTACACATTTAAAAAATTGCAATTTTCAGGACATGTAAGAATATTTTTCTAATACTGAAATAAGCATATCTTTGGTATAGAAATCACACCCTATGTGTGATCTTTAACTAAAAAATCTAATCAAGAACTATGACTAATATGTTAAACAAAACCATTCTTTGCCCATCCATCTGTCCCCTCTCATAGCCCCATTGCTGGGTGTTAGAATATAGTTCTGTACATATCTTCATATCTACAAAGAATTAAGATGTCGTATCAAAGATGTCCAGAAGTTACATATGGTGGAGAATTAGTTGGCTTAATCGTTGACACACAGCACAAAATACCAAAAGCAACATAATATACAGGATGCAAAATAGAACACTGTCACTAAGGTCAAATAATACAAAAAAAAATCACATCATTTAAATTTGATGCATTGCAAACAAAATAACTTCTTTAGAATTACTATGTACGCAACTTGCAAAGCTCAAAAAGTAATAGCACAGAGCCATAAATCTGACAAGGCACCTTAAAAATAGCCATCAAACATATACAAATATCAGATACAAACACGGTTAAACTCCAGAAGCAGTAACCACAGAAATAAAAAGGGAAAAAATATGCATTCTTTCTAGACAGTCTCCTTTTCTGAAGTAAAGTCTTTAAAAAAAGTACAAAAAATATTTAACATATATTTTAAAACCTATCATCAAAGTCCAAATCTCTGTTAAAAAAAGAATGTTTTTCTTCAAGTCAATAAAGTTCAGATTCATACATTTTCTAAAGAAACAATGACAGTCTTCATGCTAAATATAGGAAGAGAAAAAGCTTTTAATTTTGTTTGTTAACTCGTTTATTCAACAAACATTTAGTGAGTGTTGTGTGAACCTGTTTTAGGTGCTGGGGATATAGAATAAAGACACAATCATTAGCTGCAGACAACTTAGCCAAATGGAGCTGAATCCACCACTGGAAACCTTAAAGTTACCGCCCATGGTCCTTAAGATGAAACACAACTTCAAACTCTGCCATGCTTAGCATCTTGTTGCAAAACAAATAATGGTCTACCTAGTTTGCTAATGGTAGCACTGTGGCTCTATTAATATTAACCAGGTATTGATGAAGTTGACTTTCATAAAGGATTCTGTGAAAGTTCAGAGGCATAAAGTATTTAAGGACAAACTAGTACTGGTCCGCAACAAAAACAGCATCGGTATTCTGCTTTCACAGAAGCCAAGAAAACCAAGAAAAATTTCATTCTGAGTATATGCAGAACTGCTTGACAGAGGTCATTCTATACGTGTGGTACATGTACAAATATGACATAAGACGTATGAATGATTGCAGTCGTTGTTAAATAACGAAGTATGCCAAATTAGTCATCAGGTTTCAAAGAATCATAGACTTCTTTCAAGAGGTCTCGCCACGTTTTAAGGAAACGTGCATTTTCTGTATATTTGAAGGCAAGCTCTTCCACTTGAGCTGATACTGCAGATGTGGCTTCAAGAAGTTTGGTTAATGAAAAGGCTGCATCTCCCATCTGCAGCTCCACTTCCTCCAGCGGGTCCACCGTTCGGCCGCTGCTCCTGCTCGGAACTGGCCAGCCCAAATTCACTGGGCCGCCCGGGGAAGATGCTGCAGAGGCGTCTGAAGAGGAGGGAGAAGAGAGAGGCGGCGAGGGCGGCAAAGAAACCTGAAACTCCTCAGCGTCTGCCATGGGGAAAGGCTGGGACCGCGGAATCCGACCCCAGCAGCCGAACCGACACCAACCGTCTTTTTAATGTATTTCTTTTTTCTAATACTGACACCTAAATCGACAAAAGAAGTCTATTCCTAGAGAAAGGTAGTTGTTGTTCTTTTCCTCCTGTGTGAAGGTTTATTGGGGCATTTGTTAATGGGTCAGAGTACCTTGAGGCTCTCTCCATTGGGGATAACAAGAGTTAGGTCGACCTTGATGTCTCTGGCCAGCTCCTCAGGCACTCATCAGTTCTTCTCATCCCTTCCTCTCCTCCATGTCTCCCTTGCTGTGTACTTTCTTTGTCATTGAGCATTCCTGGAGCTCTGCTCTCATAGTAGGGTCATTCTCTCCCACCCCCCATCATCTATCCCTCCTTGATCTTGTTTTTATTTCTCTATTCACTAATATATTCTGATCTGCTCTCAGGATTGACTCTTCTTTTGCTTGGAAACATTAAAATATTAAAATTAAGGCAATGGGTAACATCAAAGTCTAATCATAACCAATTGGCTAATTGTGCTGATCACTGCCCATAAGTTATCTAAATAAAAGTCTTAAAACCATGCAAGAGAGATGTTACATGCCATTTTATGGCTGAAAAAATTAGATAAGAAAGGCCAGTGGATCTCCCAACACGGAGGCTGAGATCTGAGAACGGACAGACTGCCTGCTCAAGTGGGTCCCTGACCCCTGAGTAGCCTAACTGGGAGACATCCCCCACTAGGGGCAGACTGACACCTCACACCTCACAGGG